GGTAGATGACCCATGATTCAGATTTGTATAGGAGAGTAGACAGCACTATGGCTCTGTAAACACTGATCTTTGTACTTTTCTTCAAGTGTTTATTTCACCAAACTCTTTTATGGAGTTTTCCGAAAGGTCTATATGCCTTTGCTAACCTGTTGTCTATCTCTCCATCAATCTTACCATCCAAGGAGATGAGGGTACCTAGGTAATTAAACTGCTGGACTGATTTGAGCTCTGATTTGCCAGTGGTGATATGGGGATGACAGAAGACTTCCTGAGGTGCAGGCTGATAGAAAACTTCTTTCTTCTTTAAGCTGACTTCCAGCCCAAAAAGCTCAGCAGCGTCTGCAAAGCAGGATGTTAAACGCTGCAGAGCTGCTTCTGTGTGGGCGACAGGGCGGCGTCATCAGCATAAAGCAGCTCCCAGACAAGATGATTTAAGCTCTTAGTCTGGGCCTTCAGTCGTCTTAGGTTGAATAGGTTTCCATCGGTACGATATTGAATGTAAATACCATCTTCTTCATCGAGGTCTGCCATGACCCTTTGGAGAGCATCATGCTGAAAAAGATTGTGAATAGGGTTGGGGCAAGAACACAGCCTTGTTTCACACCACTGGTTATTAGAAAGGGCTCAGAAAATGTGTTGCCATATCTGACTTGGCCGCGCTGATCCTCATGAAGTGAGATGATAATTTTAAGTGTTGCAGTTGGAGGGGTTTCTGCCACCCGCTCTGTGAAGGTTTTCAGGGCTGGAATCACCCCCCCCGCCACCCGTCCCTCGTGGCAGGGACAGGCGGCGGAGGTACTTAAGCCAGGAGAGAGAGACCGCACAGGGAATCCAGCAGTGAAGAAGAGACTTTATTCAAATTTCCCGCAGCTTATAAGGGCTGCTGGGCCAAGGATGGGATTGGCCATTTGGCTAGCCAGTGCAAAGGAGACAGTTTAATAACTATGGCAACACAGAAACCAATGGTAGACAAGTGAGTTAACAACTTCTAAACCCCAGCATCTCACCCCTTCTTATTTATAATAAAGACAACATTTGTAATTTTCATGGGATTTAACAATGAAGGTTTTTTAGTTAAACCTGGGGTAAAAATTGATATAAAAATGAGAAAGTGAGTAAGACGATTTTTATTGAACTTGGGAAATCAGGTAACCTTTAAAATTTATGTTCCTATTATAAAAAGAGAAATCTCCAAATTAAATTTTACTTGAGTTTGTTTGGGTGACTCTACCCAAGCCTGTTAGGGAGGCTTCCAACCCGAGCATGTGTGGGTGCTCAAACCGAGCCAGTTAGGGCAGCCTCAGCCCTGGTTACTGACGCATCCTGATCAACTAGGCTAGACCTTGGTTGTGTCAGGAGACTGTTCCACTGTGTATACCCCTTATATAGCTTAAGGCTATGGGGTATATGAGTGAGTGGTTGACCCAAGAGTCTTTCATCTTGGGGACCAAAGTTATCTATTCCAGCTGTGATAACTTTGGGAACCTGTGTGGGGGTTCAGCCCCGAATATCCCCCCTGAGGAATATTCGCCTTTTGAGTGCCTTCTGTGTGTGGAGATTTCTAAATTAATAATAAAGAACAAAAATGTGAATTTGTTAATAAACAACAAGGAAGAAGTAGATCTTAATGTTTATCATTAAAGTTTGACTAATTGCAAATTATAACATTTCTATAGGTTGGAGATAATACATACATTCCCTGTTCTCAAAGCAATTAGGCATCACTAAGGAAAACTTGTAATTGTTTTTGAAAAACTGCTACAAATACTCTCGAATTGGTTTACATTATAAGACAACATCACTTATTTAAAGAAAGACTTGAAGTAGTTGTTAAAACCTGCAAGGTTACCTCTGCTTCGCTGCGGTTAGCTGCTTGCTTGCTTCTTTTCCTTCCCCCTCCCCCTTTTTTTTTTTTTTTTTTTTTGGAAGCAGAGTTGGGCTGGGGGGGTGTTGTTGGGTTTTCTTTGTTTTGCTGGTCACGGTGTGCCTGTTAGAGATACCTAAAAGTGAAGCAATCTGGTAATTAACGCGTTACCGTAAGTGACTTGGCCACGCTGATCCTCATGAAGTAAGATGATCATTTTAAGGAACTTGGGGGGACATCCTAAACATTCCAAAATCTGCCATAGACCTTTTCTGCTCACAGTTTTGAAAGCCTTGGTGAGATCAACAAAGGTTACGTAGAGGCCTTTGTTCTGTTCCCTGCACTTCTCTTGCAGTTGTCTGAGAACAAATACCATGTCTGTGGTACTTCTGTTGGCTCTGAAACCACATTGGCTTTCAGGTAGAAGTTCTTCTGCTATAGCGGGTATTAGTCTGTTCAAAAGTATTCTTGCCAGGATTTTACCAGCAATGGAGAGCAGAGTAATACCACGGTAATTTGAACAGTCTGATTTAACTCCTTTCTTCTTATACAAGGTGATGATGACTGCATCACGTAGGTCTGATGGTAGTTCACCTAGTTCCCAACAGCGCACCACAAACTCGTGAAATTTAGCATGGAGTGCAAGGCCCCCATGTTTCCAGACTTAAGGTGGAATTCGATCAACTCCAGCTACCTTGCCAGTTTTCACCTGCTGTATGGCCTTAAGAGTTTCTCCCATAGTAGGGACAATGTCCAATTCATTCTTCACCGGTTGCTGTGTAATGCACTGAATTGCTGAGTCTTGCATTACATGGCTAGTACTGAAAAGAGTCTGAAAGTGTTCAGACCAGCGATTCAGAATGGAGATTTTATGTGTGCGAAGCACCTGACCATATGCGCTGAGTAGGGGGCTTTGGACCTGGTATGTAGGCCCGTATGCTGTTTTCAAGGCCTCATAGAATCCTCTGTGATCACCTGTATCTGTGCATAATTGAGTTTTTTCAGCTAGATTGATCTACCACTTGTTCTGGATGTCACAAAGTTTCTGTTGGAGCTTGCTGCATGCTAGACAAAAGGCTGCTTTTCTTACATGGCAGGATGGCAGTGCAAGGTGTGCTTGGTGAGCAGTTCTCTTCTTCTTCAACTATTCCTGGATCTCTTGATTGTTTTCATCAAACCAGTCCTTGTTCTTCTTGAAGGAGAACCCTAAGGATTCTTCAGAGGACTGCAGGATGCTATTTGAATGTATTGCCAAAGTGTTTCAGGAGAGGAATCTATGGAATGATCTTCGAGCCTAATTTGAAGGTTTGCCTGAAAGCTGTCTCTCCTTGTAGCTGATTGAAGACCGTTAACCTGGAGTCTCCTTCTTGGAATACCACCCCTTTTGGGTTTCAACTTAAGGTTGAAGTTAAGTTTACAGCACACAAGTCGATGGTCTGTTTGGCATTCTGCACTAGGCATCACTTGGGTATGATGAACATCGCAAACATCTCTGTCGCACCAAGACATAATCGATGAGGTGACAATGCTTGGATCTAGGATGCATCCAGGTTGTCTTCAGACTATTTTTCTGCTGAAAGATCGTGTTGGTGATGGTGAGCTGCTGCTCTGCACAGAATTCTGGCAGAAGGCAGCCATTATTGTTGCAATTTGCAATGCCATGCTTGCCTAATGCTCCTTTCCAGGCTTCCACTGCTCCTTCTGCTTCTGCAGCTCCTCTCCGGAG